GCACTCCTGGCCTCGCTACTAGGAGCAAGAAGCTACTAGTAACAAAGGGCATCGCTACTAGGAACAAGTGCCACGCTAGTAGTAACAAGTGCCTTACTAGTAGTAACAAGAAGCTACTAGTTTCTACTAGTAACAAAGGTGCCTAGTACTGCAGACTCCAACCTTTGAGGCCCTCGCTTGTAGCACGTAAGATGCTCAAAATCCACACTCGATCCATTCAATATATTTTGTGTATCTCATCTGGTCTTTTCTTTCACCCTTAGGCCTTTTTCGGTTTCTGCTATGCTTTTGTCACATGTCATCCCCGAAGAGAACGCATGTTCTTTATTTTGGCGGGGGAAAGGTAGTGTTCTTTGGAGCCTTTGGCTCAGTTGGAGGCCATCGCTCTTAGGTTGGACGCTACTAGGGGCTCCTGGCCTTACTACAAGGAGCAAGAAGCCACTAGGGGCTCCTGGCCTTACTACTAGGAGCATTCTTACTACTAGGGGCATGGAGGCCATGACTTCACTGCACGTCGGTCCCAAATCGTCCGCGCAGCAATCGTCCGCGCGTCGCATCACCACCACTGCGGCACAGGTGGTCGTAGTCAGCGTCTCTGCACACGCCGTGTGCCGTGGTCCTCATTCTAAGACGGCATTCATGCCTCAACTTTACAGCCAACATATCAACCAGACACTTGTGAGTGTGCACAGACTATAAACATAATGTAGAAACCATCAGGTTAATGACTAGGGACGGCTATTGATGGGCTCTTCACTTCAGCAGTTTGGCGGGGCCGATGGCCAGGCTTGAGCGCCCTCTGTGCATTGGAAGCACTCCCCTCGAAGAATTGAATCACCGAAGTGCCTCCAGAACCTGTCCAGAGCCCTACTTTTTGGCACAACGTGATTTCCAAGGCTCCTGGCCTTACTACTAGGAGCAAGGACGCTACTAGGAGCAAAGGGCATCGCTACTAGGGGCAAGAAGCTATTAGAATTAAGAATGCATGACGTTTGTGTTTGTTGCCGCGTGCGTCTATCGTCTGGTGGCGAAGGTTCTGCCATGATGTCATGGATAGGCACCTTTGTTACTAGTAGCTTCTTGTTCCTAGTAGTAAGGCCAGGAGCCCCTAGTCCTAGTAGCGATGCTTTGTTGTTCCCCAAAGTGTTCACTCTTGGGTGGCCGAGATGGCACAACAGTACACGGTGGTGACTGCTTCTTCTCCCAGTCTTCCGGCTGATACCCCTTGCTAGGCCATGGAATGTCAAACAAGACAAGATGCCGTACCAGAAGGCTTGCAGATCTGGGGGTGTAAGAAAGCAGGTAAACACAAATAGCAACGTTGCTCCCACTGGTCTTACAAGGCCCTCCCACGGCCTCCCTATTCCATGCCTTACCATTGGAACCTGAAACACCCTCTTGCAAGGAGCAAGGTGCAGTAAGCGAACCTTAGACATTGAACATGTTAGAAGCATTGTGGCAAAATCTGGTTGACAGCTTCGTGTGATTCATCTGGTGTCCGTTCGCTGAACGCAACAGCCTGGTTGTAGCAGCGCGCCACAAAGCGGCATCAAGAACTACTGAAATCGCAATCACATCATTCAAGAGTCAAAACCAGGGACGGTCCGTGATCTACCAATCCTCCTCGTTGGACATGTGGTTGAAGAAAGGTCAGCTTAGTCCGCGATGCAAAGAACCGCAAGAGCAAGAACTTCTGACGTCAGGAGGTTTTTCCGGTTCCTCCTTCTGAAAGGCGAGCAAAAAGCCCCGCAGAATGGCCATCGCGACTAGGTTGGAGGTCATCGCTAGTACGGACCATCCCCGGAGAATAAGGTACCGAGCAAAGGCCACTGTTGGGCTTCACATGGAGCAAAGCGAGAACAAAAGGGTCCCTTCATCGGCCAAAGCTTTTCCACCAGCCCTCGTTGTGTTTTTGTTCCTAGTAGCTTCTTTGTTACTACTAGTAAGGCACTTGTTACTAGAAGCGATGCACTTGTTACTAATAGCTTCTTGTTACTATGTAGGGAAAACCGTTTGCTTCTTTTTGCCCTTACTTACTTAAGTAGGCGCCTACTTAATTAAGGGAGTAAGCTCCTAGCTACGAAAGCTTCTAGTAACTGGACACGGGATAGCTCACGCCCACACTAATGATTTGGTTCCACTTTTTTGGGAAACAACCTTCGATTTGCAATGTGTTTTTTTACCAGAGGGTCCGTAAGGCTCTGGCTTCCGAAGCAGAAGTCACAAAAGAGGAGCGCCACATTGCTCGTGAAGTTCTTTGGAACTCAAGTAGCTTTCACTTTCCAAAGAAATCATAAAAGGACATCGCTACTAGGAGCAAGGACGCTACTGGGGGGGGCTTCTGGCCTTATATACTACTATAGTAACAAGAAGCTACTCGTAACAAGTGCATCGCTTCCATGAAGAGGACATCGCACGAATCATGTTGCTAAGATTTGACGCTCAGATGATTTGCAGCGCTGAGGGATGTCCATGTTGTTCTACAGTGCTCATTTTCATTACTAGAAGCGATGCACTTGTTCCTAGTAGCTTCTTGTTTTTAATAGCTTCTTGTTCCTACTAGTAAGGCACTTGTTACTAGAAGCGA